GGTCGCATAGTCATTTCGCTGGATAGTAGTACCTACTGTGACAGCATCAGTGAGGTGAAAGTCCACAACATATAGAGTGATTCGAATCATGGCATCTGGTTGGGAGATTTTGGTCACAAAGTTCCAATTTGTTGGACGCTATGGGAGAGATGTGATCCACTGAGGAATGTTTAGACTGGTAACAGATGAACCAACAAACACATGGGGAGGTGAGGTCAACTGTTCACCTGATGTTCTACAAAGGTGACCCATCCTTGGTTTGTTTCCCAATTCTACACTGATGTAGGACCCAGTGGTTGTGATGTCATGATAAATATGAACTCACTGCAGTCAATAACATACCACCTCATTGCTGAAGGGTGAAGTTTGCCATCGATCTGTTGGTGTCCATAGTCTTTTAGTATTGTAGTTCAGCAGGAAGAGCAGTGGAGGTTGTGTGGTCTGAGGTTATGGCTGTTGCTGGCCATAATGCCACATGCATTTAGATGAATGTCGGACCCACCATGGTGGTGTGGAACACACTGAGGGACCCAATGTTAACCACTTCATACTCTTTAATGTACTGACCTGTAGCTCAGACTCCATCACCATGTCTGTACAGATGCTTATGCTTGCTCTTTCATGGTGGATGACATTGGTTTGCCAGTGATTCAACTTCACCTTCTGGCATGTGATTGAGGCAGACTGAATGGACTCTATGGTGCTTCCCAAAAGGGCAAGGCCAAGAGGGGAAGGAGTGGAGTGGGTTGTGGGGAATGACAGCTGACATAATATGGAAAGGAAGCAGCCATCTAAAGAAGGAAGAGGCAACAAGAGGATTAAATGGCACCATACAGTAGAGACTGCAGGGTCTGGAGTAAGTTCCAGAGGTCTGGAGTTGGAAGTCTAAGTCTGGAATATTGGCAAGATGTAATAAATGAAATGCAATAAGGAATACAAGGAGATAAGACAGAGGAGGAGGTCAAAGTCCAGGGGCAGAGATGTGACCGGAGTTCCGGAGGTTGAGGTGCGATGGGGTTCTGGTACAGGAGTCTGGAGCTGGAGGTGTGGAGCATCACAAGCTCTGGTCTGGAAGGTATGAGGTTGGGATCAGACTCGGAGTAAACTGGAGTCAGACTGGAGGTAGTGTTGGATGTTGTGTTGGAGCCAGAGGTAGTGTGGGCTCTCAACAACCAACAGGGGGAGGAGGAGGTGGAGGATGTGGAGTTCTGGAGGAGGAGATGGAGGTCCAGAATCAGGAGTGGAGGTCCGGAGTTGTATGGGTGTGGCATGCTTAACCTGTCAATATTGGCACTTGATCTGCTTTGCTTTAGTTCATTTCTTGCCTCCCATTTCCCGGGCTCTTGTCCTTCATTCAGTTTGACAATCTCCGCTTATTTCCACACCGGACTGACTGGCCTTCTATGTCTTTCCTCCTGCCTATTTATATCCTGTAAATACTTCTGGGGACCTCAGTCTGAAATCAACTAGAGTACCCCCCTGTTCTGGTCTGAGTCCCTCCTTCTGCAAAGGGGGCTTCCCCCCTCTGAGTCCATGCTTACAGAGTCCATGGTCATGAATGTTCCTGGGGATAGATCCGATCGCTACCCAGGCAGCGCTGTCTGGTGGAGCTCAGTATTCCGGGTCATCCAATGGTGGGTCGGAGACAGACCAGAGGTGGGGCGGAGCTCCGAGGGTGACAGGGTGTTGAAGGGACTCAGCTTCAGCAACTCGGAATGGAGTGCTGTGCCCGTTATGTTCTTGTTGTCCCCAATTTGTCAGGGGAGCTGGTGATGGAGGAACCAAGGCCACCAGCAGAAGGGGGCCGGAAGCCCCCCCTCACTACTTAACGATGGAGGCATTAGTGAGGGTCAATCATTCATGACACAATTCATTTGGGTTTTATACCAAGGCACCTTTAGACATGCCTGTTACTCAGTTCTTGGTTCAGGGTAGAGCAGCAGACAAGTGGGATGCAATAGACCTCCCAGAGAAGGTTTGGATTTGAGGACTTAAGACTCATATTATAACTGGGGGAACTATTTACTGGAGGGGTATGTGTGTACATATATCAGAAACAATTGGATCTGAAGGTAAACAAAGGTTACCAAGGGGAAGGAGAAGCTAAGAATAAGCAGGGGACTACAGAGGAAGACATCCAGAAAGGTCCAGAGCCCGGAAGTTGTAGTCCAGAAGATTGGGGTTGTAGGAAATATCAAATGGTAAAACAATAAAGATTATCAAGACCGGAGGTAAGGTAGGAGTGGGGAGGTACCAGAGGTGTGGAGACCAGAAGTAAGAAGGAGGGGGGATAGGCAAGTTGAGGTTTACCAACAATGAGCAGGTCCATCTCCTTTGAACAAGAGGTCCGAGGAGGTGGAGGTGTGGTAGTGGAGGTCCGGAGGTGATGTGGACGTAGATGGGAGGCAGAGCAGGAGAGAGTCGAAGGAGGAGGTAGTCCTAGGGTCATTGGCATCGACTGGAGGCAGCAGAGAGAGATTGGGAGGGCTGGTGGAGGTCATAGGAGTCATATAAAAATAGGGCAGAGGGAGGTGGAAGATCCAGGATATGACATCCACACTCCTCCTACATATCCGCTCTGCCCACAAGTCTTGTTTGAAGTCTGCTGTAAGTGTCAATCTGTAAATACAGGATCTCCCCCAAATGTCAAGCTCAGGGCACAGTGCTCCACTTGAGTCGCTGAGGCCATGATCCCACTCTGCTAACCTTGAACAGCGCTTCCGGAGGTGCCGCATATTTCCACCTGCACATCTGCATGTGTGTGCTCCCACAGACCTCTGCCACAACCTCCGACCCTGACTCAGACAGAAACCAGTCTGTCTTCTGCCTGTCTCTGACACCTCTGCAGTGTTGGTGCTGGTGGCTGAGGATGTTTTGGTACCTCCGAACTTCTGTTTTCATTTGTTTGGCGAAGTTGCTGTGCTTCCACTGTTGCCTCCCTCCACCACAGACACTGCCCTGAGGTAAGCAATGTTTTCGATCAGCCAGTGGGTACGATTGCTGGAATCGCATTTCCATTTGGCTTGTACATTCACATTTGTTCCTGGACAGGGAACACGGAAGTTGTCAAAATGTCGGTTGTTATCATCAAAATGCAGTCGGACCTCAAACCGGACTTCCATTTTTTCCTGATTCCACAGTGCACATATGAGCTGAAGTTATGGCCCCACACCTGAATCTAAGCACGCACCTTGGCACCATAAGTACTCAGGTTCAAACCAAATTCTTGACTGGAACTGTTAGCTATGGTTGTCACTTGGCCCACGAAGTGGGTGGCAGCGAGTTGGGCATTGGAGGGCTGCATGTCATCTGTCAGAATGCCCACATTTTCCACCATTGAAGTGTCCAAAATCATGACTCGACCATCTACTATGTCCAGACGATGAGCAAGGAACTGGACACATAAGCCACGGAGTCCTCTTCAGCATTGTCCATTGCACATAGACAGACATTGTGATCTCCTGAATGTTCTGGTCTCCAACAGGCCTGTCACTGGCCAAACCTAAAGTGTAAGAACAGTGGGGCTATCGGCAATGGCACAAACAAATGGGAAAAATACCTGATAGATGGGAGGATGACATCAGAGAGAGTTGAGGTGGCAAGCAGAGGTTTCAATGGATAGTTGAAAGAGAAGTGGTATATTATGGGAAAGCCATACTATAACAGAAATCCCCAGAAAGAATGCCAACCCAGCTGAACACATGGGCAAACACTTTAATGGGACATCAACATCATGATCCATCCTGATTTCCAATTTCACTCATCCATATGAAAATGCAGTGAGACAGTGTACGAAGTTCCTAACAGTTGTATGACAATCTGTTCTGATTTCCAATTAAACTCATTCCTACTAGAAAGGCTGCTTCACAGCCATGACCTTGCTTTCCAATCACATGAACACTGCTAGGCTCACAAGCTCAAGATGATGTGGTTTGACATTTGGTTCCTGATTCAAGGGGTGTTGATTCAGCCATTGCCAAACCCCGGGTTGGAGGGTGGGTGGCAGGCTGCACAACTGGTGTATTTTCAGACACCATTACATATGCTACATCTATGAATCTTGTCATATCCATACATACCTGATCCCAATTTGACTTCCAGACCCTGCAGCATCACCTCCCTTTCCACTATCTCCAACCCTCCTGGCCACTTGGCTACACCCTACTCATTTATTGTCGAACACCACATGCCTTTTCCTCGCTTAGCCCTCTTGTTAATATTGTCGCTTATATATATATTGACACTTGATCTGTCGCCATATTGGCATCAGGTTGTCAGCCCCCTCAGTCTTTCTCTCTATGCCATCTCCATGTTAATATTGTTTATTTCACTTCCATCCGTTCCTTAAAAACCTGTCTTCCTGGTTCATGCCACTCATTCAGTTCGCCATGGTTACCACTCCGCTTCCCATTCAGGTGCCAGACCGACCAGCCCCTTCTTTGTTCTCTTTTCATATTTATACTTGTAGTTTACTATCAATAGGGTGGTTCATGGTTGAGTAAATTCGTCTAGAGTGAACCTAAAGTGAAATTTCTGAAGTGAACAAAAGTTCGGGCAAACTGGATCTAAAGCGTGACTTTTGATCTTTTTCAACTTGGGGCTCAAGAGCCCCAATTCATGTAAAGTCACTCACCTCAACTGCCTCTAGACTCGGCTTTACTCCCCAGTAAGTCCGTGAACCATGAGAAGTCAAGTACTGTACAGTTTCTCAGCTCAGGTCACCTGCCCTCACCATCCGCATTCCCATCACATACTACTGCATCAGACTGTTGATGCCACCAAAATGAAAGAACCTTGCAGAGGGTGTTACTCCATCTCAGCCACGGCCTGGCTGCCATCCATGCATGCCCAGGGATGGTGAGGCTGATGCCACACTGACCATTGTCAAGGCCGAGGCTAAGTCAGAATCAAGGCCTCCGAAAATCCAATGGGATTCCAATGAACACTGGACTTACCGCTTGATTGATTACCTCTCAAATAACTTGGATGTTTGACTGAAGATGTTCAGTGACTCAGTAAAGGACGCAAAGAAGCAGTCTCGTAAAAAAGTGAGTATTCCGACATTTCATGGACAGCTTATTGTTCACCATTACCTAGGTTGTTGGTAGCAAGCCTAAGGTTGAGTATTATCGTGAAATAGCCAAGGCAGTTTTTGATGTCGAGGGTGAGGGTGAGTGTGCAGTGTACCAAATGGAGCCTGAACGTTATGCAACATCTGTTATGGGTCGGATTACCTAGTAAGTCATCTCACGGTGCCTGCTTCGGGCCATCTGATGGTTCCTCAACTCAAAAGACATATACTGCATGTCGCAAGATGCTGAGGAGTACTGGTGAAGGCTTGAAAGACAAAAACCTTGGTGATGCAGGGGATTCTGAGTCTTACCATAACCAGTTAGGTGAAGTGTTTTCCAATTATTTCCATACTACTACTGATGTTTTGGATTCAAGAATCAATTCGATCATTTTTCCCTTGGTGGGACACACTGAATGGTTGGTGGTCCGAGCATCCCAAGTACGCATTTCAGATGGTGTCAAACTCAGTAAGCGGTGTTGAAAAGATGGTTGGCAACTTGGAGCAAGCTGTCTCCAGTCCTGCTGAGCTTGACAAGCAGGTTCTGGATGAGGAAGATGAGAATGGTCTTGATTCAGTGAGTTTGTGTGCTTTAATCCCCCTTTTTTTCAACTAATGGCAAGTTTAATTAGGTCCGGGGAACTACTTCCCATCCACCCTCACTTTCCAGGTCATCTCCACCTCTTGAATCTCCGATCTTGTTCCAACCCAGCCCACTTCCTCACATTGATCCAGCACTTCTTGACATGGAACCACCACTTTTCTGCATGGATCTACCACTTCCCCATGTGGACCCACAGCTCCCTGATATCAAGCCAGGGCTGGATTTGGAAGATCCTAGCATGCCATCCCAATCCTCTTCTTGTACATTGGCACGGACCCCCGCATCTATTGTGGCAAAATCAAAGGGTGACCCAGCCCGGCAAACATCGTGCACTCCAGGCCCAAAGGCCCAAAAGGATTTTATGACTGACTTCCATGAAGCCACACGGATTGACCAGGCTCAAGCTCAGCAAGAGGCACAATACCACCATGTGCAGCAAATGGCATGACTTGAACTCAAGAAAGAGAAGATGCACCGAAAATATGAAATTGAGTCCCTCAAACTTCAAGTCCAATTAGCGCAGGTTCAAGCGCAGCAACACCAAGCATGATTGCAGCATTTTTATTGAGGCACTAAGTCCACCATGTTTATATACTTTTTGCCAATGAAATTTCGAGTTCTAGTACAGAGCATCAAATAGCGCTTCTTGTACATGACGGCACTTCTGTTGCGCTTCTGTCTCCCCTGGCAGAGGTGGTCCTACCCCACCCCATACAAAACCTTCAACAGGTCTGTCCTCCTCCCTCTCATCTTCATCAATCCTACCCTCATCAACCCATTCCCAAAAATCACTCTCATACTCATGATCCTCCACATGTGCCGCAAATGAGTGGATAATCAAGCAGGTGCAGACCCATGCAAGTGCAAGTACGTAGTCACGCTCTGAATTAATTTGTTGATGGAGTCCACGCAGTGACTGAAACTGACCTTTAAGGTACCCTACAGCATGCTCAGACCTGATGCGTACCTGGTTTGCACAAGCATTAGGTAATTTATAAATCCATATTAGATATGTAACACACCATTGACAGGTGGTAGTTGAATTGGTGGTTATATGGTATGAGTGACTGTGGGTGCTTATAAGGTACCATGCACCACAGCAACAGTGCATATGCTGAATCGGCCCACAACCACTCACCTTCACAGAAGAGCTGGCTGGAATCCTTGAAAGCGCGAGATTCCTTGAATGCTGTTGAGTCGTGCATGCTGCCAGGAGGGCCAAGCACATAGTCAATGATCCGAAGGTTTGGCAGTGTCACAAGCTAGAAAATCCATCAGCACCAGTAATTCACACTAAGGATTGCACGCACTGAAAGACTAAGAGAATAGTTGGACTTATGATCAAAGAATTGCTCCCCAAAGTGCCCAGGTTTTGATGCAAAAGGAATCAGTGTGCCATCAACCATGCAAAAACCTGGCCTCCAGGCTCGGCACGACACACTCTCTACCCAATCTGATGCTTCTTGCTTTTCATCTACATTTGGCCATTGAATGGCCTGGTTGTGAAGCGGTAAAAAGGCGATAACGATGCAACATGTGGCCTTCACAACAGTCCCAGCACTACAACCTGCCCACTGTGCAATCGCATCAACAGATGCAGCACTGCCAAAATGACCAAACCGAAATAGGGCAATGGCAAGCTGCTGTGCAATAGGCCATTGGTTATTTTGAGAGTCGTTATAAAAGCAGGGGTGATCTTGAATAAGAGTGAGGAGAATGTTGAATGTACAAGGTGAGACATGGAGGTTTCGACGAAAGCACACATGGTCATCCTCTTTATAACACCTAAGAACAAGCCCTAGCTGGCTGCATTTTGAGACATCATGTGGGAATAGGACACAGATGGAAAGGAGAGTGGAAAGGAAGTGTTGAACATGGAACAAAGACTGGAAATATGAGCAGTGGAGAGTTTGCAGCGCTTGGTCACATTCCGCATTAGAAGATGCGACAGATAGGCAACAGGAGCTGTTGTTGTTGCTGTTGTTGTTGCTGCTGTTGTTGTTGCTGCTGTTGTTGTTGCTGCTGTTGTTGTTGCTGCTGTTGTTGTTGCTGCTGTTGTTGCTGCTGCTGTCGCTGCTGCTGCTGTCACTGCTGCTGCTGCTGGATAAGGAGTCTACACTGGCACTGTGTCCGTCGCTAGGGTCATAAGAGCCACCACTAGAATTCGAAAAATTGCTGGATCTGAGATGTCGGCATTGATGATAGTAATGGGCACGTAGTTGGAGGGCATGCTGGGTGGCAGCATGTATGAGACGCTGGTGGTCAGACACAACAGGCATCAGAACTGTGGAGTTATTACATAATACAGTGCAAGGTGATGAGTGATGGACTTATGGAAATCGGGTCCGAGCAACTTTAGACACAGTTTAGAAGCAGTGTGACTGTGAACACCCGACCTGATGTTCTAAACTCAACCTGAACTCACTCTGAACTCATGTCCCATGTGAGGTGAAACTCGGGCCAATCTGGATGCAATTTAGAATCAGTTTGGGCCCAATTTAACCCACTGTGAACGGCCCTAATGTACCTTAGTTCGAATATTGACTAGAAATCCCCCCCAAGTTCTCTTGTCTCTAAGTTCGCCTCTAAGTTCCATCTTCACCTGAGTAAACATCACCGCAAGGTCCTCCTGCTAACCTGAAATACAGGACAGCCTGGAATGTGTGGTGCAACACTCCAGTTGAGTTGTTGATGTTAGAACAGGTGGATACAGATGACTCCGGAGTGGAATCGGAGACTTAGCATGGAGGGACCTTGGCCTCAGCGACTCAAGTGGAGCGCTGTGCCATTGCTGTTTGTCCATTTGGTCCTTAATTTCACAGTAGGCAAGCAGGAAGTCTCTAGGGGGCATTTCAGGTCGATTTCAGACTGAGCCCAAAACGAGTATGTACAAGCGCCGATATATATAATGGAGGGGGCAAAAGCACAAGGAGACAAAGGGGGTCTGAATCAGAATGAAAACGTCTGAATGGGAACAAAGGGTAGACAGAAGCGGAGCGGTACCGAAGGTCATAAGGCAGGACCTGTGATATGTCCAAAAGGAGGTAGGGAGGGCAAGGCCCAGAGGGGCAGGAGGATGAGGAGAAGTGGGGATGATGACTAACTGGCTAGAATGGGAAGAAGCAGCAGTCCAAATAGGGATGAGGGGAAAACACAAAAGATACATTACAAGCGGTGAAAGTGCTGAAGGTGATCCACGAAGCTCGGAGGTTGCAGAGCTTACGGAGGTTATGGAGGCAGGGTTGAAAGTCCGAGGAATATTGGCAATGGTGTTTACATAGTATGAGGTCACCAATGCAATGGACTAAGACTGAGGTGGAGTCAAAGTCCGAGGTGTTAGAAACCACCTCCGCCTAATGCGGGCATTTAGTGTAATGGTAACACACTCAAGGTACCTATGCAGGGCTCTGCGGTTCGACTCCCAGAATGTCCATATTTTATGCATTAAGGTTCCTGAGACCACGTGTACAAATTCCAACATGGTGGACATTCTGCGGAATACACCGAGCACACCCAAATCCGGTTGCTGCCACGTGAGCTGGGCACGTGAAGTCAAGCATTAAATTAGCCGGCCTGACAAAGTTTCAGGGGGTGTAGCTCAGAGCACTAAGGACCCAAAATCCAGCTGCTTCAGACCACATGACATGGACATGTAGGAGATTAGCAGTAAGTCTGGCCTGAATATGAATTCAGGGGGTGACGGCTCACGGGTTGTTGGAACCCCGGTGGTTTGGGTCACATGTGGATCACATGGTCGATCCAATGTGAAGGGGGTGTGTTGAAATAACCACCTCAGCCTAACAGGGCGTATGGTGTAATGGCTGTGCACACTGAGTTCGCGATCCAGAGGACTGGAGTTCGATTCCCAGTATGTCCAACTTTTAGGTTTCCCTAAAAGACCACGTGCAAATTCCAACACGAGGTAGGGACTATGATGGAAGCTCGGAGCAAAGGTACAAGCAGTGCCAGAGTACGAAGTATGGGACAGCGGTGGAAGGTCATAACTTGGCGGGAGGTCAGCGGAAGAGTACCAGAGGGAGGAGAGAGGAGAAAGGGAAGAGAGAAGGAGTGGCGGAAAGGAGAGTTGTCAGGTCCGAAGGTGAGTATCGGAGCAGATGGGGGAAGCGTAGGAGGGTGACGGAAGGGTGGGGGTGTTGTGAGGGAGGAGCGGAGGAGTAGGAGGAGGGTGGCGAGGGGGGCGGTGTTCGGTCCGAGGTGAGTATCGGAATGGACGGAGATAGGGGAGGAGAGGGAAGGAAGGAGTAGAGGTGGCATGGGAGGTAGAAAGAGGTGTATTGCCAGGACTGAAGGTGAGTATCGGAACGGCAGCGGTAGGGTATGACTCTGGAGGTGAAGAGGGTGGAGGTCCAGAAGTTGGGTCGAGGTCGGGTATGCATGGATATGACAGTTGAAGCCGAAGTCCCATCTCTCAAGATGCCTTGCAACAGAGTTGCACACTAGCTAAGTGCCCACTCATGCTGCCACACTCTGCTCCACTTCCTGCGATCACCTCGAATACCGTTTCTGACAGTGACCTCATTTCATGTAAACACCATTGCCAATATTCCTCAGACTTTCAACCCCACCTCTGTAAGCTCCATTACCTCTGAGCTTCACAGACTTACCTTGGCACTTTCACTGTTTGTATTGTATATCTTGCACTTCTCCCTCACCCTATTTGGACTACTGCTTCTTTGCATTCAACCAGTTAGTCATCAACCCCACTGTCACAACCAACAAGTCCTGGGGCTCTGTCAGCGGTGAATCAATGCCAATAGGCGAATCCGCCAACATGAAACCCATCTCAACCAGCCCCCAACCCAATGTCTGGCCCCTGTCCTATCAAGTGAGACTTGGTCAACAATTCAACCCTGGACCTTGCTGGCATTCTGACCTTACCTCCAGTTCCCGAGCCCTTGGCACTCCCAGCATAGTCCCTCTAGTTCCTCTTGCCTCATCTCCATCTGAACCACATGCATCACTCTGCTATGTGGTCACAGCCATGCACTGCATCCAGACCTCCACCCGCATCCAGACTTCTGCCTGCATCTGGACCTCCACCCACATCTGTACCTCTGTGTTAGAACAGGGCTGATACAGACGACTCTGGAGTGGAATCGGAGACTTAGCGTGGAGGGACCTTGGCCTCAGCGACTCAAGCGGAGTGCTGTGCCATTGCTGTTTGTCCATTTGGTCCTTAATTTCACAGTAGGTGAGCAGGAAGTCTCTAGGGGGCATTTCAGGTCGATTTCGAACTGAACCAAAATGAGTATGTACAAGCGCCGATATATATAATGGAAGGGGCAAAAGCACAAGGAAACAAAGGGGTACCAAATCGGAGCGAAGACGTCCGAACGGGAACAAAGGGTAGAAGAAGCGGAGCAGTACCGAAGGTCATAAGGTAGGACCTGTGATACTTCCGAAAGGAGGTAGGGAGGGCAAGGCCCA